TATATCACTGTCATATGATTCTTTTAATTCTTTTGGGAAGATACCCAGCAAGGGAATAGCTGGGTTGAATGGGACCCCTCTAAGCCTAGTTCTTTGAGGTATCTCCATACTGATTTCCACAGTGCTTGAAGCAGTCTGCACTCCCACCAACAATGGAGAAGGGTTCCTTTCTCCCCACACCCCCGCCAGCATTTGTTATTAGATGATTTCTTAAGAAATCATCTAATAACAAATGAAGGATCGGTATCTTTGAAGCAATACTTGAGAACAATCAGGAGGGACTTCCTCCTAGGGGAAAGTCACATTTTATTAGGGTAACAAAGTTGTTTTCGATGAGCTCTTCTGGGATCTGATCTTTGCTTACACCAACTACATGATAAATATCTATGCCATATCTTACGGCGCAGGATCTTTCTTAACATACAAATAAGTGTTTCCCACCCTGGTTTCTTCCCCTCAGAGCCAGGGATACCACTGTGTCCTCAGTTCTAATCCGTGCTTCCTTGTAGTGTCCATTCTAACTAGTTATGGCAAATGCCAACCTCATGGATTTCTCTCATGCTTTTGGCTTGCATTTGTGTGCTGACTTTCTATCTCCTTCCCTTTCCATTATTTTTGTTCTCACCATCAACTGTTTTAATACTTCGGGTTTCTCTTCCTTGCTTTTCATATGGAGACGCCAAAATGATAGTATTTTACAATCAGCCCTCCTTTACCTTACCCAAAGACCAGACAGGATGGTGAACCTAAGTTGCAGGCTCTCTGGGCTCCCCTCCAAAATGCCATTTTGCCCTGGTACCAGAGGAGAGAAGTGGAGCCCCTGAAAAGGATCTTTTATGGCTCAGTCAAGAATTATAAGTGAGAAGACTAGCCCAACTCCCTTGTGGAGGCAGATAAGACAAGGTGTCTTTTCCCAGATCATCATTATGTTGTCCCATCAGATGAACCCACATACTGATGCACCTGCAGAGGTTCAGTGTCACAGAGGTAGAAGGGACCTGTAGGAAAATCTTCCTATTCCTGCCTCTCTGCTGCATGGACATTCATGTTTCCAGAGTGACTCTGCAATGTGCCCATTTATCGTTCACAAGGGTTGGAACTGGGAGAGTCCTTGGGAAGTATTTAGCCCAATGCTCTCACTTCAGCTGATGAAACTGGGGATCAGACTGGGCAAGGGGCTTCTCCCAAGCCAGCTACATACAGAAGTGGGGCTACACTTCTACATTTTAGTCTCAGTCCAAGGCCTCTCCTGTATCTCTTGTGGTCAGTACTATTTCTTTTAGCAATATCACATATGTTTAAAAAGGAGGTGTGACACCTATGTCTTGACATCCCAAGTATGTCCCAGGCCCCAAAAGTAGGTCTGACATAAGCCCAGTGCATGACAAACTCACTGTTGAGAATGAAATTTTGCAGGGGATGGACTCCACATTCTACCTAGTCTATGCTACCCTCCAAGGGGTGTGCACCACCTTTCATTTCTGTAGCTTCCTTTCTGTTCTAAACTCACAATATTGCATCAGTTGCTTTGGCACATTCTCCAACTAGCAGGGCATGTTGGCTCAGAGACTGACTTCTTCATGAGCATATATGTAAATTCCTCACCAGTTCCATAAGGATCTGTTGACGCAAGATCCAAATTTCCTAGTCTTTACTGTGACACCAGGGACATAGCTTGATACTCACACTTGGTGCACACTTGGTGGTGCTGGCTGATGATCTGAGATGTTAAAGTGATTCAGAATTTTTCATGTTCATGGTTCTACCAGCCACATTTTGAAGATAAGCAACAAAATCTATGCCATTGCTTTATAACCAAGTGCTTCTCTCTTTGAATGTCTAACAAGTAGCCAAAACAAAATTATTGAGTCTAATCCCAGTCCCTCAACCCAATCTCCATAACATGAAGTATTTTGTCTTCACACTTTCTTATCTCAGGGAGTAGCAATAGTGTGCTGCATCATAAATCACAGTGGTGAAGATATTTTGTGGCATGGATAGTGTTTCCTGGAACTTGAACATTTCTACCCACTCTGATAATGAGAGATAAGAGAAGAGAAGATTCAAATGTTCTTAAATTTTGTGTGATCTGAGATGTGAAAGATGACAGGACACCGGGGATTGTGGTTTTACTTGCTAGAAAGTCAAAGACCAAATCCTGTGTGGCACTGCCTGAAACTACAGTTATCTGTAAAGACAGAGCCCAGGCCAAAACTCTAGGAATCTAGTGCAGAGAATCCCACTCCCTTCTCTAACTCTAAAGTCTTTCTGTTCACACTGACAGGTGCAGGGTATTAGGCAACCCATGACAACAAGAGCAATCTAATTATATTACTGAAGAGCAAGTCTCAGATATTACTGTGGGTCTTGGTTATCCTGAATATCCAGCTAATGCACACAACTTAGCAAAACACTATAATCTACAGTTTAACCGCCCCCCCCCAAAAAAAAACCCAAAAGTCAATTTGAGGGATATAATTGGATATTCAGGTTAAACTAGACCAATTACTGAGAGATTCAATTGTTACATGGTTGCACTGCCTGTCCATTGGTTTTTTTAATTAATTAATTAAGATTTAGCCAGGGAATTTGATTGTTTAAATTTCTAAGTACTGCAATTTGATGAAAACAATTTCCACCACGTAAAGTAAAAACTTTTTATAGTGCTCAAATAAATTTTTTGCTCTACAGATAAGTAAGAGAATTGGAACTATAGTTTAAGGAAGTTCAAGAATAATCACTCCGAGGAAAGCTATGGTCCAACATGAGTGTTGTTAGTGTTTAAAATGTCAAGATTTTTTTGTTTTTAAAATAATTTTTAAATTTTAAATTTATTTTATAAATGATACACAAAAACATAAAAATTATCCAAAGTAAACATATCTCTGTCCTCAAACATTTATCATGACTTGTGGTGACAATATTCATAATCCTTTCTTCTAGCTTTTTAAAATATGTATAACATTATCATTATTTATAGTTAACTGTTGTACACTGTATTCATAGGATCATATACTGGTACATGGCTTTTGGACTATATACATACAAATCAATCATTTCATCTACTTTTTATTCAGTTTGATAATCTCTGTGAAAACTCAGAAAGCAACACTCAATATCATATTTAGCCAGAGGAAATGCAGATCCTCTGTCTTTATGCAGAAATGATTTATACATGGCAGTTGAATATACAGGGCCTGGGATCTTGTAAACTTGAACTTAAATCCCAGCTATGTTTGAGTCTGTTTTCCACTGACTTTTAATGGTCATAATAATTTATAGGTGAAACTAAAAGAGATAAATTTGTGGACAATGCCTGACTCATTGGGCACCCTATATTATGAACTTTCTTCCCTTTCATGACAAGAGGGCCCTGTCATCCTTGAACAGGGAGAGAGGAAGTAGAAAGGAGATTTGGGAGCAGAGAGTAAAGTGTTAATTCCACAAGAATGATTCTTCCATGCAGAAGTGCCTTTCATGCATGGTGTTCAGAAGAGAAAAATAAATATTTCCTATTTTCAAAAACAAACAGAAGCTCCACAGGTATGGTTGCCTGTGGGTGCTGCACAAATTATGAAGTATTTATAATAAACATGGGGGCATATGAAGTACCCAAGGTGTAACAGAAACCCTGAGACTCCACTTTCACTTAAAAATTTGTCTACAATTTTTCCATTTTCTAAGACTTTGTGTGAGTTTTTTTTTTTTTTTTTTTTGGTACCAGGGATCAAACTTGGGTCCTTGAGCTTGCACAACAGGTGCCGGAACCACTGAGCTAAATCCCCAGCCCTATGTGAGGTTAAATTTAAAGACAGAAGGCTAATCTGGCATAAGAAATTTCAAGTCAGCCCAAAGTTCAGGCTACGGCATGCTGACTGCTTTTAGAAAAAGTGGAGCAGAAAGATTTGAAAACTTTTAATTTTACATAAAAAAGATTCATAGGCAAAGTTGGGGCCAAAGAAAATGAAGTTGTTTGAGAGACTCATGCCATTAAAAAGAAGCCAAGTGCTTTTTACAGAAACAAGAAGAAAGATGACTTGAGGGGATCTTAGGGATCATCAAGACTCTCACCCATCACAGGCTTAAGGGTGTAAGAGTATAAAACTTTCATTTCAGCAGCCACTGCACCCATGGTCCAAATTATCTTGGTTACTGTTCAAGCTGTTGGCAGACTTTGGCATCCTCCACATGAAGTTGGTTTTTCCAGCATGCAGAATGCAAAAGTTTTTGGGTCATGAAGTTTTCCACCTGAATTTCAAAGGAAGGTCTGGGAGACTGGGCAAATATGTGTCACAAGGTCAAACTCTCTGTCAGAAGCCCATGAAAAGGTGATGTGTGAAGCTGAAGATGGAGTAGAAACCCCTGAAAGATGATGATGCCAGTTACATGGAACATTAGCCAAGGAAAAGCATAAGCAGTGAGTGGAGCCAGTGAAAAAGAGAGGTCTTGTGTGTTGCAACCAGCAAGGTCATAGTTGTGGGTCTGCCCAAGCCCTCTGCAATTCACATCACTCCACCATGTGTCTTGGATTTCAGACATGGAACTATAGGACTTAATATATTCCCTTCTGGGCTTTGGTCTCACTTTCATCCAATTCTTTTCTATTTCCCCATTTTTTCCTTTTGGAATGGGAATGTTTACCTTGTGTCATTGTCTCTTGGAATAAGGTAACTTGTGTTTTGGATTGTTATTGGGTTTACAAATAAGAGTTTGCCTTGAGTCTCAGAGGAGACTTGCACCATGTCCATTCATAGTCTACTAGGGCTCCATTCCTCTCTCCATACTTAGGGGCAGAGACCATGTCTATTTTTGAAACTTTGGCTCAGATGAGGTGGGCCTGGAGTGGAGATGGCAGTCATCAGGGGCCTATTCTCCTTGGTCCTTACAGTTGGACATCTCATCTGTACTCTGGGGGGACTTGGATGATTCTGGAAATTTCTTGTTCTTAACTCTGAGATGAGTGACATATGAACATAGAACTGACTCCAAGAGGCCTAGAATTTTTTTCACATTAGAGTTTAAATGAATCTGTAATTTCATAGGAGATATAGTTCTAAATGTTATTCTGTTGTTCCAGGAAAAATAAAAAGTCATCACAGAACAAATTTCATCCTTTGGTTTTGTCCTGATAATGAATCTTCATGCCATGTGGTAAATGTGGCTTTACTGAAAGTAGAGACCTTGGTTCACATTTCTCAACTGTGTTGGCACATTTTCATTTTCAGTTACTAAAGAGCTTCCTCTTTTCAGAAATTTATTTCCAAGTTGCTAACAGAGAAGTCCTGGTGTTTGTCAAAACATAAAGCCCTTTCCTTTGATGCAATCTCTGAGCAGTTTCAACACAATTGAACACCTGGAAATTTAAAAACAAAACAATAAAAGCAAACCAAAAAATCAAATTTATTTCTCAGAATACTTGGCTGGTAACTTAGAAAAGTAGGTGGTTGACCAGTTGGATCAGCTCTTTTTTTCCCCCCTGCTTTTACTATTTTTATTTTCCCTAGTATTTTCCAACAATTCAATGGAAATGAACAGTTTATAGAGTCAGTTTATGAGGAAACTTACAAACTCTATTATACCACAAAACCTATATTCAAGGACATTCAAAGGAACTCAGAAGATTGATACCAGGGCAAAGTTGTTAAACTGCTCGTGCCATGGTGCTGAGGTAAAAGCTGAGATTTATGAAGACTGTGACTAGTGTGATTGTGCAAGCTGGATCAAGGTATTTGCAGAGGGACTAAGCTCACTGTAGCCACTCCTGGTGAGTAAACTTTTGTATTTTTATCCCAAAAGTGAAGAACTGACAGATGTTTCTGAGAAAAAATGATTTACCATCAACTTTATCTGAGTCTGACACATTCTTAGCTTCAATGCATGAACTGCTTCCTAGATCATCACTGAGTATAGTCATTTTGGAACAACTCAGCAAGTCTACTCTAAAAGGCAATTGGATTTCAAACAGAAGTTGCTTTATAATCAATGCAGATGTCTATCCTTTCATGCATATGAATCACAAAACACCTATAAATCATATTGAACATTATTTGTCAAGTGCTCAAACATATGATTATTATTATTGGTTGTTTTTGAAATTGAAGAAATATTAATTAGTTGTAAGTTATAATGTAGGCCAATAATTGACTTTATACATGAAAACTTATGAAGGGAGGAGATTTAGAAGATTCTGGAGAATTCTGAGGAAGAAGATAATCAGACTTTCAAATACATGTGATATAAGAGAACTACCATACCCAAGATCCCTAGGCAGAGTGGGCTCCATCCTTATATTCCTTGTCATACTTAGATAAAATTGATTGTGTTTGAGTTTTGTCTTTAATTTCAGAAGAGCCAACTTTTAAGATTTTTTAAAAATTGGTAGAATTTTGAAACAAGTGCAAAAGAAATGTTTTATAAAGGCTTTTAAGACAATACCTAGATGAATGGCAGAATCATCAATTTTTGGTCGTGGCACAAATTTCCTTTCCATTCTGCAAGGTGCAGTGGGGATATGAAGCAGGAATGCAGCTACCACAAGCCCCAGGGCAGGGGCTGGCTCAAGTTCTTAGAATGGCACTTGGTTTGGTCCCTCATCAAAGTGGGATCTCTGCAGAGGCCAGGTGACTTGGTCCAGGTCCTAAGAGGCAGTGCTCTTCCTGACCTGGCATAGGAGATATCAGCAAAGAGTTTAGAGCCAGAGGATCCATGTGGGAAGGAATTCTGTTGTAAAGGATTCATAAATCAGTTTGGATTCTATATTTTATTTATTTGATTCTAAAAATAATGGGAGAAAAGCAAAACCAAAATCTGCTAAAGTTGACATTTGGTCATAGAAAGAATTAAACATTTGGTTACTTTGACCCTAGGATGCTTAATATCAAGTGTCAAAATATTTCTCTCTGCAACCATATTCAAGAATGACAAAAGGTTCATTTTTGTTTTTTAAATTCAAATCAATAATTCACTCAGTTTGTTCATTTTTTAACTAGTCTTAAAAGATGCAGGTTTTTTTGTACCAGAGATCGAACTCGGGACCTTGCGCTTGCAAGGCAGGCAAGGGAACCACTGAGCTAAATCCCTGGCCCAAAAGGTGCAGATTTGCTTGGGTGAGGGAGAACATCTCACAGGCATGATTATTTTGCTTTCCTCCACTGAAATGGAAATATTCAGAGATTTTTTTATTAAGTTGAAACAGCACTGAAAAATAGAAGGGGATTATATCTTTGATTTTTTTAGTGGTTAAGAGAATATGAACAAATTAACTTATAAATTGAAAACAATTTTTTGATCCTTTTTCAAAGTATTCGATTTTAGCAATAAAATTAAATAATGGTGACACAGACAGAATTCATAAGTTCTCTGACAATTTTTAGAAGTACAGGGATAGATATAGCTTTGACTCTGGAAAATGATTTCTGGGACTACCATTTTTTATGTAACCATCTTTAACAAGTAACTTTAGATTCAACAGTGATCACCTGGTTAAAAATCATTAAAATTCTTGCTAATCATTTTAAAACTGTGAAATACATAAAATTTTTTAAAAAGTTTAAATTCATATTGTCACTTATAACTATTATCAGTTTGTTATATTTTCATTGAAGCATTTTATCTATGCATATTTGATTTTTGTATTAAAACATTAGGGACATACTAGATATACAATAATGAATCTGGCTGGTTTGTATTTACCTCTGAGAAAGTTTTAAAATGTCTTATTTCTAGTTATCTGTACAATAAAAAGGTGATCTATCTGACAGAGATATTATAAGGATTAATTGAAATTAAATATGGAAATTACCTATCCCAATGGCTGGCAGTTGGTAGGAGATGGGATAATAATTCTTTTCCGTAATTCAAATTATCACTCATTATAGGATGTATAAACTCAGGAATACAGATAAATTTATTAGCTCCCATGTAATGTACAGCTCATATTAGAATAAACAGTATATGCAACTTGGGTTTTTTTCTAAGATTAATAGTACTTGCTTCTAAATGTGATTAGAAAGTAATACGCATGATTTTACAATATTATCTGCTGAAATACAAGGTGATCCTTCATTTCTCATGGGTACCAATTTTTAAAATTAAAGGTATTTTCTTTTACCTTGTGTATGTTAACTTACAGATAAAGATATGTATAAACTTACAGATATAAATAATAGTCCAGTTTCTATCTATAATATCTAACTTTTAATTTGGTATATGTTTAGAAAGTTAAAATTATATTAAAACAGATATCAGTGGATATTTTAGCTCCAAAACCAATTATTTGTATACATAACAAAAGGAATGCATTTTTCATTAATTATCATTCCATATATGTATAAAGTAAGTATAAATTACTTGAGACCTTAGTTCCAAATAACAAGTATCAAATGCATATTAAATTCCTTAGATTTTTTTTTTCTTTTGTCAATGTTATTTCCAGATACTAGTATTAATCAAGTTCATTTTAGGTGGATGTGTACCTGAATTATATTTTTAGATCAGAGTGCTAGAAGAGCATCTTTTCATGACAGACTACATACAGACTGTATTACAAAGCAACCCCTCATTATAAGGAATAATTAAAGCCTCATAATATGTTCCTGCACTCAGTCTGTTTAAATTCAGCATGTCTGTAATTTTATCACAAAGTTAGGATTTGCGAACATATTTTCCATCCCATGCCTTATTTGAGCCACACCTTACAACACAATAAACACCTGAGGGAAAAGACAGACATGCTAATAGGCACATACTATGGATTATTAATTTAAACTATTTTGAAAATCTATTTGAAAAGGCATAAATCAAATATACAAGTACAGTCAGACCATGAAATAAGAATGGAAGGTCAAAAGTTGTAAGGGAAGTAGAAGAAAACAGACATGTGATAATCTAGCAAAAAAGCACACAGTACAATTTAATGCTCAAAGATGAAAGAAAAATGTAGTGGCATACATACTTTTTATCATCTGATAAATGGTAACAAACTTTCATATGTGATATTTTTTCATGATAAAATGAGAAAAGAACTTCAAGGAGGAAAGTGAAGTGGGGAGTGGACATTATTTTCAAGATCTATTTGGAAAATTAAGGAAATGATCCTTAAACAAACCTATTTCAAACCACCATGGTATCAGTGCTGTGGCCCTAACATCCAATGCCATGCCTGGATGGGGATCGTAGCACACAGGGTCACACAGATAATATTTAATGATCTAAGATGGCTTTGAGAACCTGCAATTCTTCTAATCATTCCACCTGGAAGGGCTGAGATGGGAATTGCAAGCTTGACTTTGTCATGAGCCGAGAGAACGCAGAACTCTCTGATGAAAGGTTTGAATTCATATGGGTTGTGCTGCTGATTGGGAAATAGCCATGGTTTTAGACAATACAAGTAAAGTGTTTCCACAGCCTGACTCACATGGTGGGTTGAGCAGGGCTTCCTTTGATTATCTTAATGTGCAGGAAAGGTAGCTGAGAGCCTATTAAAACTTGGGTATTAAAAGGTGTGTTTCCTGTGATTGTGGGTTTACCAAGTTGACTGGTAACTCAGGACAGGTGAACATGTCTCCCACTTGTAATGCCATGGGACTAGTTGCAATTCTGAAAGCTGAATTTCTAAGTAAAGGTGAGGCTTTGTTCTATTAGATTAAAATGCCATGTTGAAACAGTCAGAGTAAATTGTTAATAATAATAATATCTTCTTGTGTTCCAACAGTATCGTTAATCAAATTGCTCTTTACACCTTGTTTCACTTTGGTGTCACTTCAGTGCTGGTAGTGATGTAGTGACCAAAAACTTCAAAGTTATCCAATGTGCTCAGGCACTGAACTGTTTATGAGCAAAATGAACCAAGACCAGAATCCTGGTGTCTACAGAATTCCAGGCCATTGTGTTTCCCCAGGATTGGAAGAACTCAGGGTCACTAAATTATCTTTGAGTTTTTGACATGGGACCAATCATTGTGGAATTACGCTAAGAAACTCTTCGGTGGAGGAACAAAACTTGTGGTCATAGGTGAGTATCAGAAGACGATATTTCCAAGGTATTAGAGGGGAAGAAAAAACTTGATTTGGGGGGGTAACAGTATGAATGTTTAGGAAAAAAAAGGAATTTGAAGGGAATTTGCTGTGGAAGTCTTAGAAATTTTGATACAAATGCATATACTAAAGGAGATTATAGACAATGCTGTATGTACAGATATTAGGATTTGGTTGTGTGGACATGTGAACTTCCATAAAGTGCTCACATAGAAAGTATACAGTGATACCATTAAAATGAGCCTGGGACAAAGTCCACTATTTGATATCTGTGATAGACTCACTGAAGTGGACTCATTCCCTTTTCTCATGGCCAAGTATGTTGCGAGAGAGTCTGAGTTTCCCAGGGAGGCAGACTTGGAGGCCTGGCTACACCACATAAAGCTGAGTGAATATGGGTGATGACTCTTTGGCTTGAGTTTTTAATCCAGTATGAATCCAGGTTATATAACAATTTAATGAAGTACTGTGAATAAAGTTCTTGGAACATTGTCCAACATATTATAGGTGCTCGATAAATGTTCTTCCAATTCAAATGTAAAGAGGATGTTTCATCCAGTCTGGAGAACAGTTATTAATTCACAGAGAAGAAATTCTCTGCGGGATTCAGCTGCACTTCTGGCTCCTCAAATGGAAGGTTAATCTTAACATCTACTCATACAAAAAGAAATGGAATCTGAAGAGTTTTGTTTCTCCTTGGAAGAGTTTTTAATCAGCTGGCAAGAAAAAATTAAACCATGAGATATTTTTTAAAAATTGTCTTGATCTATGTGCTTTAAAATCTCTATTCTTTATCTTAATTAATATCTCTAAAGCAAATCTTAATTAGTCCCAAACTTTTTAGCCAATACAATTAGGCTTCTCACCATATTTATCAGAAAAAGAACTTTAAATTCATACAGAAAAGACAGGGAATTTAGCTCAGTGGTTCTGCCACCTGTCTCACAAGTGGAAGGACCCGAGGATGATCCCTGGTACAAAAGAAAAAAAAATTCATACAGAAAATGTTCAGGTTACAAAATCAAATAAATGTAGTTGGAAACTAGTCGTAAATCTGAAATGCATATTTAAATATGAAATAGCTGTAACTATTTGGTGAAAGGAAAATAAAAATAAAGCACATGAACTTTCATATATAGATTTGAAATATCATACTTTGAAGAAAAAAATGCCACTGATATTTGGTAAATATATATATAATCCATACCATTGCATGTTAAAATACAAAGTTAGGGAATTTAATGCAGTGTATTATATAAGCAGGTAAATAAACATGCACAAATGAATAAGATAGTTTTATTTATTTGTCAAATAAAATATATGGTAGCCATTCTGTTATTCAAATAAGATAGAGTAGATTCCACTCTATGCATCACAAAACAAACTTCCCATGAAAAACACTCTTAATGCAATATGTAAAAGCCATGTTTAAAAAGACAATGTAATATAAAAATCTAGAGTGTAAGTAATAACCATATAAAAAAGTACACTAATACTTAGCTAACTATTGTAATGAGAAAGTTATGAAAGGTGAAGATTTATTTTCTTCCTCAAAAGTATGAAACTTAGGATATTTCTAAGGAAAAGAGATAAGCAATGAAGTGTATGCTACTGTAAAAAAATATTTTCCAGTTCATCAATTGATCAGTTTCTTTCTTATAACAAATATAAAGTATTTGTGAAGAAACACATGCTCCTATGATGAAAATTAGATTTAATGTATTGACTTAGGCTAAAATTATACAAAGCACAACTGAAAATTTAGTCCTTTTATAACATGCTTTTGAACTACAAATAATGTGTATAGCTGGAGAAATATAGACAGTCTTACTATTTGCACTAAAAGCAAGATGTAAGAAATTAAAATAACATTATCACCCAGTTGTCTATTACACGGGCAGAAACATTCACACTGCATACTTACTGATTCTGTGAAAAACCAGGAGCTTTGCTGAAACAGGCAGAGCCTCAAAAACTTTTGCCCTTTCTTCTCAAATGAGAAATTCAATTGTTTCCTCAAAAATGTATCCATTGAATTGTTACAATAACTTCAAATTAGTGTGAAGAGAATATTGGCAAAGCATTTGAGTGTCAGTTGCAAATCAAATTAGAAGGCGTTCTAACATTTACAATAAGTCATTAGATTAAAAATGTATAACCTGTTATAACTCCAGGTACATGTGATGTGTTTGTAAACACATGTGAGGCTTTGTGTTATGTTGACATTGTGTCTGGGAGAAACTCTGGAACCAAACTTTTAACAATGCACCAGTTATATGCACATTTTATTCAGCAGGTTAGGGTAAGAGAATAAAAGAAGTCCCAAAATATAACATAGCCATGGGGTAGATACTAATTTTGAGAGAGTCAAAATATGGATATGCAGCTATGCATACCTTTTTATAATGTGATCAATTCATATTAAAACAAGTATGAAAAAGGCACTCTTGATGTATAGTTACAGTAATGCTCAAACTTCAAATGAAACTCTAAACTAAAATATGGTTTTAGTGAACATTTTCCAAAGCAAAGCAGAATTTGGATAAGTGTGTTAATCGGTAAGACTAACAGAGGTGCATTATTGAAAAGAAACAATAATTTTTTTACTTCAAATTTTGGAAATATCTCTCCTTTGCTTCTAAAGGCAAGACACTGTGAATAAGATGAAGTGCAGCTTTAAATACTGCCTGGCCCAAAAACCTTAAGGTAGCTCAGATGTAAAAGTGAGACGTTGTATAAGAAGAGATTAACTAGGAGACCTTAGAGAACTTCAGAACTGGGAATAGGATCCACAGTTGGAGTTCAGGGATCAAGCTGGTAGATTGTTAGTACACACAGATTTTTATTAAAACAAATGACAGTGTATTATTATGGACAAAAATAAACACCTACTTTCTGACCCTTATTCCTATGGAAATTAGATAAATAGGGTGAAAGGTCACAGTGGGCATGCAATCAACGGTACTCTGTTATCCTACTGCTGTGCCTGGGGCTTTTCCAAACCATATTTAGATTTACCTAATAATTCTCTTTATTGATATTCAATTTTCCTCACAGATAGAAGTTCAGATGGAGACATTTCCCCCAAGCCCACAATTTTTCTTCCTTCAAATGCTGAAATAAATCTCCACAAGGCTGGGACATATCTTTGTGTTCTGGAGAAATTTTTCCCCGATGTTATTAAGATATATTGGAAAGAAAAGGATGGGAATATGATTCTGCAGTCTCAGCAGGGAGATACCATGAAGACTAAAGACACCTACATAAAGTTCAGCTGGTTAACAGTGACTGGAGATTCAATGGATAAAGAGCACAGATGTATCCTCAAACATGAGAATAATAAAGGAAGCGTTGATCAAGAGATTTTCTTTCCTCCAGTAAATGAAGGTATGTGTATATAAGTATAATAGAACATTTATTTGAAAGGAAATTCTCCACTTTTCTTTGTCTGTCAAGTACTAATAAAAACAAATGTAAATCTTTCTTAAATCTTATTACATTTAATAGTACCATAAATGTCCTGCTATTTTATTCACAGAAAGAAAATGGTAGAGGCTTTGGACAAAATTGAAAATTTTACATAAGCTTTCTCAGCCTCAGTTTCAACATCTAGAATATTAAGATCACTGATCTTTTTAATAACTGTCATATGGACTATGTGACACAACGTAGGTGAAAGCACATAGCAGTGTAAGACTTGCTAAACACTGACAAGCAGTTTTTCACTTTGGATGAATTTAGTTGATTTAGAAATAAGAACAATTTTGTGCCTTTCAAGCATGTTTTACCAAGCCAGCATATGTACTTCAATTTTTCTATGCACAAAGTTTAATCTATAAGCACTCAGTTCTTTTTTGACAAAATGATGTTTAATAGAGTGTGACTCCAGCTCAAAAGAATATAGAATAACCATGGCCGCTGGAATTTTATGTTGGCATTGAATTTTTCTGATTTTTTAAATTACTATTAGACAAAATTTCATAATTTAAGCTTGGGTGAGGCTAATGTGTATGAACCTATTTCCCTTCTCCATGATGGATGTACTTCTTGCCCTCAGTAAATGCAGAAGCACAAACATTTACTGTACTACCAGTCTATGTCAGGCCCAAGTGGGAATGTGGGAGGAGTTAGTGTTCCAAGGTAGATGTGCTGTAGTGAAGAGACAATGATCTTTTCCTAGTCACTCAAGAATATATTATTGACATAATTAACTTCCAACATTTAATTAATGAGATGTGCTGCTATAAACATGGATATGCATGTATCACTATAATATGACATCTTTAACTCTTTTGGGAAGTTACTTAGAAGGAGAATATATAGGTCCAATGGAATGTCTAGTTTTCGTTTCTTTAGGAATCTCCATAATGATTTCCATAATGGCTGTACTAGTGTACAATCCCACCAACAACATAGAAGGAGTCCCTTTTCCCCACAGCCTCACTTTGTTATTTGATTTCTTGACGGTAGCCACTCTTTTCCAGAATCTTACTATTTTAATTTGCATTCCTCTGATGGCCAGAGATGTTGAACATTTTTTCATGTATTTACTGGTAAACATGTACTAATAAAAATTATAATAAAAAAAAAGATTCAGGTCCATGTCCAAAAGGAATCCTGAAGAAACAGAAAGGAAGCAATATGAAAGTACAAGTTTAACATAAAGAATGTCCTTAAGTGTCCTCTTAGGTTATGATTTTTCTAGTGTCAGAGAAAACTAAAAAGAATACTAAGTTCCATGGTAATGAATAGTACGTAGGAGAGAGTATCTAGTTTAATAAGGTTTTGACGCCAAGCGTCTTTCATGGGCTTCTCTTGACAACAAAGCTAAAGAAGGCACTTCCATTAAGGTAATCTCACATCCATTTCTAATGCTGCTTCCTGCATGTTGTTGTTTTGCTTTGGTTTTGTAAAAGCTAAAAAATAACACATGGGGCTACAAATGAATCAAGTGATTTTAAAAGGAGTTAAACTAATCTGAGAACTTCAACATATTCCTGTGTAGCAATATAATATATGGAATATCTACAGAATTAGATAGAGTGGGACCAATTATTCCTGGAATAGCAGAGATTATATTTTTAATGACTGTTTCTCTGGTCCTTCTGTTGAGAGATTTTATATATGTTTATGTGTATGTATGTATGTTGATACACACAGTTCTGGAAGTTCTCTTGTGACTGTCTTTGCCAGGTATCATTTAAAAAAAATATGATGAACAGTGCTTCTGAGTGCTGTCTAACAAAAAAGCAAGTTCCTAAAAGCATGTCAGTGTGTCTTCATCCACCTAATTCACAAGATCTGGCACCTGTGACTTCTAGTTTTTCCCTAAAGTCAAAATGACCACGAAAGGGAAACATTTTGAACTGATTCAGGGCATCAAGGCAGCTATGACAGAGCAACCAACAGTATTCATGAAAGAGGACTTCCAGAACTGCTTCAGAAAGTGGCAAGAATGAAGAGATGAATGTGTTCAAAGAAAGAGGGAATAGTTCTAGAAGGATTAATGGCAATGTGTCTTTTAATGTAATAATTATTTGAATTTGAACATTCACCGTATCTTTGGATCGCACCTCATAAAGACCAGAAAGAAGAATTCCAGAACTGGTTCAGAACATGGCAATGATGGGATCAGTGTGTTCAATCCATGGGGAGATATATTGAGGAGGATTATTGGCAATATGTCTTCTATTGTGCTGAAGTTTTAAAATTTCAACACTCCTCATATTTTTCAATCACACCTCATATGTTTATACACATGTACACATATTGTCAAAGATCAGACATGAATAATTGACACTATTTGGTCTGTTTTCTTTTAGTCACCATTGTTACTCGCAGAGAACCTGATTTGAAAGGCAAAAATGGTAAGTTCAGTATATTTGGCTTTTTTTTTGCTACAGCTTTTTACATCTTCCTGGCTAGCTTAACTTTCGGACTTCCCTGAATTAATGCAGAAAAATCAGAATGGGTGGATGTTCCACAGCGGACTGAGTGATATTTTAAATTAATCCATATTTTCCTTGGCAACATATTAACACAGTAAACTACTGATCTTGGGATGAGAATCATGCAAATGAGAAGATACAGTGACATGTTCTGAACTATTTCAACTAAGGGACTTCATTCATTCTTGTGTCTATGTTTTGACTTCTTGGGAAAAAGAATATCAAGTTATTCTAGCTTTGTCTTTTAATTGTACATAAATATAACTCTTATCTTGAGTTTTATTTAGCAAGCCTAAATTGTGACTTGGCTTATCTATTTTCTGAAAAATGGCACTCGGACTGAAATGCTCAGCTGCTATAATAAAAAGAGGCTATTGGCTACAAAAAATAAAAATACTCAGATTTTCAGTCTACAGTGGCGTAATTATGTTCTATCTTTTAAATACTCACATTATCCTTTGAACTGGATTTGAAATTCTAGGGGTTTGATCTACCTTAACCGATTTTTCTCCTCCATAACACGGAACCATCCAGAACACAACTCTCTTAAGTGTTGTTGAGGAGTTAAACAAGATGATCTGAGAGATCTAACACAGTGCACTGGCCCAGCAATGCGCACTCAGCTGGTACTAGCATCTATTAATATCGACTATCTCACCTGTGTTTGTCAAAAGATTTTACACACACATACACACACACACACATACACGTAAATATGCACAGTGCCAAATAATAGGAATAATTGACAAGTACCTATTTTCCTATCTTCTAGTTATCAGTACTACTGAACCTGAAGCTTGCTTGAAAGATGAAAATGGTAAGTTTTATTGTCTATTCCATTTTATGGCATGCTTCAGAAGTTTTTTCCTTTTAATGATTTTAACTTGAATTGTCATAGCTTAAGTGAGTAAAATCGCAATGGCTAGATGTTTCAAGATTGATTGACACTTTACAATCATGCATCACTTCGTAGGGATCATATTAACATTGCAAATTACTAATTTGGGCATGATATGACTTCAAGTAGAGGATACACTGATACACTCTGAACTATTTTAACAAAGTGACTTCATCAAGTGTTTCTTGCTTCTAATAACTGGGAAAAGCATAATATCAAGTTAATTCTAGATTCTTTTAAGTTGCTAGTGATGTGACTTGGCAGTATTTACCAAGTATTTTTTTTCCCCATTAACTTTATTGGTACATTTTAGGTATGAAATACAGTTACATTCATCATTGGGATCTTGTACCATTACATGAGTCTCTTGGTTCTTATTTTTTTCCCCTTCCCTTGCCCTCCCTTC